TTTTGTCATATCTTACACTGTCTGACATCTCCCTTCACCCACTTTTCTGTTGTCTGTCCCCCAGGGAGGAGGTTATATGTAGATCCTTATAACTGGTTCCCCCTTTCTACCCCACCTTCTCTCCACCCTCCTGGTATCGCCACTCACACCACTGGCCCTAAAGGGATCATCCTCCCTGGATTCCCTGTGTTTCCAGTTCCTATCTGTACCAGTGTACATCCTCTGTTTTAGCCATATTTGTAAGGTAGAATTGGGCTCATGATAGTGGGTGGGGAGGAAGCATTTAGGAACTAGAGGAAAGTTGTATGTTTCATCATTGCTACACTGCACCCTGACTGGCTCGTCTCCTCCCCACGACCATAAAGGGATGTCCAGTTGCCTACAGATGGGCTTTGGGTCCCCACTCCATATTCCCCCTCATTCACAATATGATATTTTGTTCTTTGATGCCTGATACCTCATCCCTTTGACACCTTGTAACCACACAGGCTGGTGTGCTTCTTCCATGTGGGCTTTGTTGCTTCTGAGTTTTTTGTGGTTTTTTTGCACTTTTAAAAAAAGTTGTATTGACAATTCATCCACATATCATATAATTCAATGGTTCAATCATATCAAGAAGAGTTGTACGACCATTACCACAATCAATTTTAGAACATTTTCTTCATTGTACTTATTGTAATTAACGTAGCTATTTTTTATTTGTGGCAAAGATAGACATAAGTAAACATTCTCCAATTCAACACCTTCTAAAAGTACAATTCAGTGCTATTGATTATACTCTGTGTTATACAACCATTATTGATATCCTTTTCCATATTATTCCACCACCATTCACATAAACTCAGTGCCCCCTAAACAATAACTCTTCCTCCTTCAACCAGAGGTCAGTTTTAGTTTATTTTTTTATTAGTTGAAATTTAATACATCTAGTAGAATTGTAAATTACAACCACAGTTTCCACCCATTCTTTTTCTGCATTGACTCCTTCACTGACTGTGCAAAGACTGTGTGAATCATGATAACAAGAATGAGGGTTCTAGACACTTAATACTCACGCAGAACCTGCACAATTGTTTGAGTGGAACAAGGGAATTGGTTTAATTAGAACAAGCATGATTTAAAATCAGGGTTGTATCTTTTCACCATATTTATTCAATCTGTATGCTGACCGAATTACCCGAGAAGTCGGACCATATGAAGAAGAACACGGCATGGGGATTGGAGGAAGCCTCATTAACAACCTTGTTTGCTGAAAGCCAAAGGAGTTTCAAGCACTTGCTGATGAAAATCAAAGACTGTAGCCTTGAGTCTGGATTGCAACTCAATGTAAAGAACAGAAAACCCCTCACAAATGGATCAGTAGACAACATCATGACAAATGGAGAGCAGATTAAAGTTGTCAATTATTTCATTTTACTTGTGTCCACAATCAAGGTTCATGGAAACAGCAGTCACGAAATCAAAAGATATACTGCATTGAGCTAATTTGCTGCACAAGACCTCTTTAAAATGTTCATGGGTGAAAATGTCACTAAGGTTTGCCTGGCCCAAGTTATGGTACTTTCAATCACCACAGATACATGTGAAAGTTGAACAATCAATAAGGAAGAACAAAGAAAATCCATGCATTTGTATTAATGTGTGGTGAAGAATATTGAAAATTCCATGGACTGCCAGAAGTACAAACAAATGTGTCTTGGAAGAAGTACAGCCAGAAGTGAGGAAAGTGAGACTCCGTTTCACATACTTTGGACATATTATTAGGAGGAATATGATATGAGGATGGGGAAGGACAACATAGTTGGTAAATTGGAGAGGCAGTGAGAAAAGGGAGACCTTTGATGCCATGTATTGTTGCAACAGTGGGCTCACACCTAACAAGCTTAAGGATAGTGCAGTGTTTCATTCTGTTGTACATAGTCACTATGAATCAGAAGCTACTCCACAGCACCTAAAATGACACACTTGTAGGTATGGAAGAAACAATGACAAAATTAACAAGGTCCTTGGTTTTGTTTTTTTAAGTTTTATTAGCACTTCATCCACACATCATACAATTCAATAATTCAATCATATCAAGAGGAGTTGTACAGTTGTCACCATGTTCAATTTTAGAACATTTTCTTCTTCCTTGTACCCATTGTTATTCATGTACTTATATTTTCTAATTGTGGCAAAAATTACACAATAAAACATTCTATGATTCCACAACTTTTACTTCTATAATTCAGTGCCATTGATTATATTCCTTATGTTGTGGGTCCCTGTTCTTAAGGCACTATATTCTGCTGCCAAGAGCAAGTTTTAAATAAAGAGACACTTTCCAACAGTGGTAAATGATAACAGATTGAGGTGAGAGAGGCTGCCTATGTAAAGCATGGATCCTGCCTTAGATGATGAGAAAAAGACACCCATGTATGAAGTTCTGTAAGGAAGATTAGGCTGTGCTGTAGGAAATTGTGTAAGGAATAAGTTCCTCCGATGGTAACTAACTTGGTGATTCAAAATAAACAAAAAGATGATTTAACTGAGACTTTGAAGTAAAGGTGAGAATGGGGAGAGTTGAGATCATGACAGTAGGCAGGGACCAGTCACTGAGGGTTATAGGAAGGTATTGAGTTTGCTCCAGTTGCAATGGAGAGCCACTGTAGGGCTTTGATCAGGGTGCAGTCCTAAATCACTTGTGTATTTTAAAGCTCACTCTGGTTGCTCTCTACAGATTGGATGATAGGAAACAATTAGGGTGGCTAGGATTAGGTTTATATTAGTGGGGTTGTACACAAATAAGTGAAAGTCCTTTCGCCATTTCTTAACCTTCCAAACTGCAGGGCCCTAGCCCATCACATGATATAATACTTATCACTATCACTTAATTACACATTTGTTGCTTCTCCTCTGCACTTAGAGGTGCTAGATAAAATACAGATCGCCAGCTAAATTTGAATTTCAGATAAACAATAAATAATTTTAAGTATGTGTATGCCTAAAATTCTTCAGTATCTGACAATGCTATGCTTCTATTCATAAGGTGCATTGACCAAAAGTGCCAGAAATTAGAGCCAAATTCAGAAGAGGATATGCAACTAGTCATCAGATGGGTCTTGACTCAAAGCAGGGAATACCAGAGAAATGCTTTCTTGTGTTTTTTTGTCCATGAAGACATTATACAAACAGAGCAAAGGCATATTACATGATTTAAAACCAGGAAAGCTGTGCATAGGGCTGTATCTTTCACCATACTTTTTCAATCTATATAATGAGCAAATAATCTGAGAATCTGGACCATATAAAGAACACAGCATAAGGACTTCAGGAAGCCTCATTAACAACCTTCAATATGCAGATGACACAACTTTGCTTGCTGAAAGTGAGGAAGTCTTGAAGTGCTTGCTGATGATGATCAAGGATTGCAGCCTCTAATATGGATTGCAACTCAATGTAAAGAAAACAAAACTCCTCACAACTGGACCAAGAGGTAACATTATGATAATTGCAGAAAAGGATGAACTTGTCAAGGATTTTATCTCGCTTTGATCCATAATGAATGCTCATGGAAACAGCAGTTAAGAGAACAAATGTCACAATGCATTGAATAAACTTGTTCCTTAAGATCTCTTTAAAGTATTGAAGAGCAAGGATGTCAGTTTGAGGGCTAAAGTGTGTCTGACTGAAGCCATGCTATTTCCATCCTCTCATATGCATGTGAAAGTTGGGCATTGAATAAGAAAGCCAGGAGACGAATTGATGGGTTCAGGCTGTCAATGAATATTGAAAGTGCCAAGGACTGTTAAAAGAATGAACAAATCTGTCTTGGAAGCAGTACAGCCAGAATGCTCCTTAGAAGCAAGGATAGTGAGACTTGTTTCATGGACTTGGACATGTTATCAGGAGAGATCAGTCCGCAGAAAGAGACATCAAGCTTGGTAACATAGAGAGACAGCGAAACAGAGGAAGACCCTTGATGAGATAGACTGCAACAATTGGCTCATACTTAACGATTGTAAGGATGGCACAAGACTGGACTGTTTTGTTGTTTTACATGGCGACTGGGATTAGGTTTAAGTAAGTAACATTGTACACAAATGAACATTCTTTTACTTGTCCCTAACCCTTCAACCAACTCAACAGCACCTAAGAACACCTTACTCACTGCCATGGAGTAGATTTTGACTCAGAGTGACCCTAGAGGCCAGGAAAAAGTGCCCCTGTGGATTCCTGAGACTCTAACTCATCCCGGGGACCTAAAGCCTCATCGTTCTCCCAAGCAACAGCTGGTGGATTCAAACTCCTGACCTCGTGGCTAGCAACTCACATGTCACCAGGGCTTCAGAACAACAATAACAATAACAACATGCCTAAAACATTTTATGGGAGCTTCTTATACTACAAAAAGGATTTATTGTTTTCTACAATTAAATGACCTGGGAGCCGTGCTGGGGTCCTCATAGAAGCATTGGCATGCTAACCACAAAGTCGGTGGTTCACACCCGTCAACCGCTCCATGAGAGGCAGACGAAGCTCTCTGAATCAGCTTCATGGCAGTGGCTTCCTTGTGGAGAAGATCCTGTAGCTTTTTTACCGTCTTAATCTGGGAGCCCTGCACACTCGAATATAAATTCCCAAAGGGCACGGACCTCATCTATCTTGTTCTCCATGGTAGCTTAGGAACGAGAAAAATGGTAGGCGCCTCGTAGAAGCACACGCATTCGTATTTAGTGACTTTCTAACAACAGACGGACCGACAGCCTTTTGCGTGCGAAGGGAACGAGAGGACGCAGACCTGCCTCTGGAGGATCGGCCGCCTGGGAGCGAGGGGCGCCGGCCGGCGCGCTGAGGTCACGGGCGCCGGCGACGCTGCTGACGTCACCACGCCGGCGCGGTCGACCTCGCCGGGGCCCCAGTGGCGCGGGAGCTTCCTGCCTCTGCCTCCGGCGACTGGCGGCTTTGCCGTGACCCCGACCCGGCCCGGGCGACCGGCGGACAGTCCGGCTCGGTAGCGGCCCCCGAGGCCCTTTGCCCGTGGCGTTGGCCGCCAACGTCCCGGCGTGGGCGGCTCTCCCGCGGGGAGAGCCTCTCCTCAGGACCATGTCCAGGCCGAGTAGCGTCTCTCCGCGCCCCCCAGCTCCTGGAGGAGCCGGCGGCGGGGGCGGCGGCGGGGGCGGCCGGGCCAAGGGGCTGAAGGACATTCGTATCGATGAGGAGGTGAAGATCTCAGTCAATATCGCCCTGGAGCGATTCCGATACGGGGAACAGAGAGGTGAGGCTCCTACCGGGACCCAGCCCGCCGAGTGGGTGGGCCGCCCCCGCCAGCCTCAGTCAGCTAGGGGAGAGGACTGGGTCTCCTATCCCGCCCTGAGAGCCGGGGCCCTCGCCGCGAGGGGCGCGGGACCCCCGGCGTCCGTCCTCGGGTGGGAGGTGGAGAGCCAGCACCTTGCTTTCTCTGCGAGAGGCTCAGCCGCCGTCTTTGATTTATTGTCTTTTCATCCTAACGCTGCCCTTCTTAACTTTGCCCAACGCGTAGCCCTAAGAGAGTCACACTGAAGCTAGAACCGTTGAATGGCAGGAAACCCAGCCTACATAAACGCACTGGCACGGTACAGTGCTTCGTTGAAATCCCAGCAACACTTGAAAGCACATTAAAAATGGAAAACTTGTTTTGGTGTATGAAACATCTCTCACCCCTCTTAGGGTGAGAACGCGACCTGCCTTGGGCCACAGCCTGCAGCACCGGCCGCCAGCCCGATCTGCACAGGATATTGAGTGCTTATTCAGATTTGCTGGGTTAACTAGGGGACACTTTACGCTGCAGCTTGCAGTCCGGCACAGGGGATGACCCGGGCCTAGTGACTCAGAATTTACTTCACACAAAGGTCAAACCTCAGCAAGATAGAGCCACAAAATTCGGCCTAAATATTGAGGTGCGAGTTCTCCAAAGGAAAGCACATCGACTTTGACGGTGAACATCCATCATGCTTGCGCAGCCCTCATCGTTGAAGTAAATGAACATTTTGCCAAATAAGTAATCATTAAGCTAAGATATTAAATTATGCCTATGAGTCACTATACCAAGTCTAGGTAACAGATAAGAGCAATAATCTTTGACTAACTTAGGAGTCTTTATCACATTTAGCTTAATATATAGATGACATTTTATTAATTTCAAAATTCTGGTAGACAGTCATTGGATGTACTTATCACATATATTTAATGAGAACAAATTTGATATGATTTTCATTTCATATTTTGTATTTATGTGTTTCAAAGTACCTTGAGAGGAAATTGCTTATCCAGAAGCTGTACTGATTTTTTTGTGTCTCTTCCCATGTAGAAATGGAATTTCCTTCCTCTTTGACCAGTACTGAAAGAGCTTTTATTCATCGATTGAGTCAGTCTCTTGGTTTGGTCTCAAAAAGTAAAGGGTAAGCTTATAATTGTTATTATGAAAGAGGAAAAAAAGATTTTTATTTTTTTCCAGCAAAAAGAAAATGTGTGTTTTTGATCACATTGAAATAGATAACTAGTATTTTAGATTAATATTGCTAATTATCTTTGATGTTGGTAAACTGACTCACATTTGTACCTCATCAGTTCTTTTCCTCCTGTGTCTCCTAGCCTTTGGTCAAAAAAAGTAGCTAAGTTTGAAATGTAAGACAATGTAGTTAGAACTTGAGATTGATTGCTTGAGAAAAAAAAAATAAATAAAATGCCTTCTTTTAAAATAATCAATGGGAAAATGTTAGTAAGTATAGTAATTTACAGAACTTATATCCGTTAATGTTTTTATACTATAACGGTCAACATTATGATACATCTTTGTTTTCTTTCCTACCAAGTCAAGAAGCTGGTGATTAGAAATAAAGTAGAATAGGAAGAAACTATATATAATTACATTGATATATTCTATATATGCACACTATATGTATAATATATATAATTGTCTATGTGTCACTAACCCATAAGAGAAAAAGTTGAGTCATCCAAACTTAAGGACTGTAAAATTCTGTGAAGCAATTCCATTTGAATAGGGATTGTGGGGTTGATAAAGAATAATTTCTCAGTATTATATTTGAGCTGGAGGAGCCTTTGCTGGTAGACTGTGGTATGTCTTGTAGGATGTTTGGCAGCACGCCTGGCTTCTGTTCAGTAGATGCCAATCTAGATAGAGGGGGAACAAAGATAAAATTTCAGCTTACTTGTTTTCAGATTAAGAAGAGGGGAAAAGCAAAATTTATGTTATACACATAAACACATACAAAATCTATATGTTAAGTAAGTGCTGAGATAAAAGTATGTTTTCTTATGAAAACCCTGAAAAGAATGAACATTTTGTGTAGGCATGTGCAACACAGTGATATATTACTGACTGAGATAGAGGAGTTAGTTTAAGTGCAAGAGTAATTAGGTTCTTGAACACACTCATACCTTCAGTAAGTAAATGAAAGGAGGTCTGGTGGTGTAGTGGGTTATGTATTGAGCATTAACTTGCTAAGCACAAGGTCAGTGGTTTGAACTCATCAACCTCTGAGGGAGAAAGATGAGACTGTCTATTTCTTTAAAGATCTAAAGTCTCGGAAACTCACAGGGTCAGTTCTATTTTGTCCTCTGGGGTTGCTATGAGTAGGTGAAATACTGTGCTTACAAATAAACATTTTACAGAGTTAAAATTCTTTATGAAAAACATTTGGCCTAAATATGTTTTGAGACTGAGATTTTAGAAGGGCCTTATTGGGTGGGGCGGAGGAGGGAGAGAAGGAAAGCACTGCTAACGGAAGCCAGGTGATCCTTGCTGTTGATCCAATCTCCATGAAATATTCTACTTCCTCCTCCTTTCATCTTTGAGACAATTTAGTATTATGTTTCATCTGATGATCCTTGCTGACTTACTTGGTACTCAATGGCTATACTTAGATCAGAAAGCTCCACTTGAATAGAAGATTTAGAACATGAAAACAGTATAGGCTTATCCCATGCTTAAGATAATTCTTAAAATGAAGATATTTTAACAAATTTAATATCTAATAAAAATTAGGGAAATAACAATGCATTTTATTTTAATTATATTTATGGTTATATAACATTTCTGTATTGTGATGTGACATCAACATATGGTTAAATAATTATGTAATGTGTTGGGTCAAAAAAAACACCCAAGCTTACTGGTTTGATAAAGAGTATTAAGAACCTCAAAGTCAGCTTTGAGACTATGGCCGTTAGTCACCCTAAGATGTAGAACTGAATTCACACCCAGGCCTCAGTTGTCAGTCAATCAATAAACAAATCTATAAAAAGGGAACAAGAGTACCAGGGAACACCAGGGAGGTATGCACACTTTAAAGTAATTGCTTATTTGAGATCAAAGGACACCATTTGCCCAAGGATAGCCTTCAGAAGGGAGGACTGGAAATAGGAGGAGAACTGGAAATAGGAAATATAAGGAGGCAGTAGTATAATTTACTATTATAATTTGAATAACCCTTTGTGTTACGTGTGATTATTATTAACATAGATTCAGCTACAAATTGTTACGGTCCCACAATTGGAGTAATAGGGCTGGGATTCAAACTCAGATCGCTGCCTTCAAAACTGGATCCCTTAGTCAAAACACATGAGAATGTATGTTAACGTTATTTAAAAGCCATGGTCAAGTTGAAGAAATAACTTGACCAGGAAATATCCTGGACCAGTTGAAGAAATAAATATTCCTACATTATATACTTTTTGAAAATGAGTAAATCATTGTTACTTTACGAATACTGACTCAGGTTGGAAACTTTGAAAAGGTTCTCTTTTTAAAAATGACTGAAACTCAACTCCCTGCCATTGAGTTGATGCTTACTCACAGTGACCCTATAGGACAGGGTAGAACTGCCCCTGTGGGTTTCCAGAACGATGTAACTCTTTACAGGAGTGGAAGATTCCATAAAGGCATCCAAAAATGGTTGTCAGAAATGTTGCTGCATATACATTTTTAGATTCAACCACTAATAACAGATTGTCATAGCAAAGTGACATTACCAGCGTGCCGTGGAAGTATTCAGTGAATTTACGTAATAGTCTGGGCAGTGAACCATACTTCTTCAGGACTATTTCAAGATTCTGTTGTTCAGGTTGGTCTTCTCCTCTCTCTCTTTGTGCTTCCTAGCATGTGTTCACTGGTGATTTGTTATCCACCATGAAGCCTGCTAGAGACAAACTAAAACTTATGGGCAAATAAGCTTTTTGTTTGGTTAATTTAACATAGGATTTGCAACATTTTGAAATTATAAATGAATTTGGTCTTGTTACCACTTTAGCACTAGCCCTTCTTTACTGTTTGTTTTTGGGGTTTTTTTGAGAGTACATTCAATGTCTTGTCTTAGCATTTTGGCTTTTTACAAAATGTGTTGCTTGAGATGTAGTTTCTGTGTAGGCTTATATCATGTGAACAAGTTGACCATGTGCAGTAAATAAATGCTTTTTATTAATGTTCAGAAAGGGAGCAAATAGATACCTAACTGTGAAGAAGAAAGATGGATCAGAAACAGCTCATGCAATGATGACCTGTAATTTGACTCATAATACAAAACATGCTGTCAGGAGCTTAATTCAAAGATTTCCTGTCACCAATAAAGAGCGTACTGAACTTCTGCCTAAAACAGAAAGAGGAAATGTATTTGCAGTTGAAGCTGGTATGTATTTTCTGAGGAACCTTCTTTATTGGTCCTATTATTTGATGACTGTTCTTTTTCCATTTTAGCACTTACAGTATGTTCTAACTGTGCATTATGTCATTTTATTATATTGGCCCTCATAGAAACCTTTGCAAGGTAAGAGGTCCCCATATTCCATAGGTGAAGAGACCAGGGCCCAGGAAAGTTAAATACTTTGTTCAAATCCACACTACCAGCTAGTCAGCTGCATTACTGGATTTGACTGTAAATCCTGAACTTTCCCATATTCCACTGCCGTAGTACACTAACAAGTAAGCTTTTGAATTGGGTCTTTCTCTTCTGGTAAAAGAAGAGACAGAGTCTTTTAGGACATTAACTTGTTCAAAAGTAGCTAAAGAAATAATTGCTTAGATTATAAAATGAAGTTTTAATTTTATTATTTGGAAAAGTAACTGTCCTTATGAGAAATTATTAGTGACAGAGTTTGTATATTTATCATTGTCCATTGGCACACCATATTTGTCCACATAAATATTACATGCACATAGTATGCATATAGGAAACTAGTGTTCAAGAGGATTGCACTGTCTGAATAAAACACAAAAATGGTTTTTTTTAAAATAAAATAGGTATGAAGAATGTCAGACATAAAGGATCCAAGATATCAAGGATTATACTTTTTAAATAATTTTATTGGCATATAATTCATATATTATACAATTTAATCACTCAGTCATATTAAGAATTTCACAATCATCACCACAGTCAATTTAAGAACATTTTCTTGTACACTCATTGTTGTTAGCTCCCCATTTCACCCTATCGCCCCCTGCCATGCTCTTAAACAAAAAAGGGAAAAAAGCAAAAAACCAAACTCATTGCCAAGGAGTTGATGCCAACTCACAGAAACCCTGTAGGACAGTGTAGTCCTGGCCTTGTGAGTTTCTGAGACTGTAATTCTAATGGGAATAAAAAGCCCTATCTTGCTCTCACAGAGCAGCTGGTAGTTTTGAGCTACTGACCTTGTGGGTGGCAGCCCAGTGCATGCTCACTATGCCATTCGGGCTCCTAGCTAATTATTATCATGTCCCTGTTATTGTTGTCAGGTGCCATAAAGTCGGTTCTGAAAGGGAGCCAAAGGCAGATAAATAACCAAACAAACAAAGATCCATGAATGGGTTTGGGCTCACACTAAATCCTAGCTCCAGTTTAAGAACCATTAGTTGTTACATCATGACCCTGCTCTATACTCGCCCTCAGGAAGGGAACACAGAAGATATGGGTGCTATAGCAAAATGTGAAGAAATTAGATGGTACCTGGCTATCAGTTAAAATAGCATCTAGGGTCTTAAACAAGCGCCCATCCAAATGAGATGTCAACTAAAAGTCTACATGGAAGAAGCACACTGTCATCAGTCGCAAAGGACTGTAAATCATATAATTCAAGGCAAAGGAAAGATTAGTATCAGATCCTAAATTGTGAGAATGTGGTATGCAGAAGGCGATAAATGACAGTGGGAACCCAAGCTTCCGGTGAACGCCCTCTCTCTGCAATTGAGAGATGGGAGGAAAGTGGTTACTAAACAGAGAGCTTTGGACAGATGGGGGACAGAAGATCAAAGGTATAAATCTGACTTGAACAGTTAAAATTGTGTCAGTTGATCCCCGTTCTCATGCAGGCTGGACCTGATCTGGTTTTCAATATTTTCTGTATTTTTGGTTGGTTTGTTCATATTAGGGTGTATCTCAGAGGTGTTATGTCATTGGAGGTTATCCACTTGAAGTTCTGTTAAGTGTTTTCCTGTGTTCCAGTATATGAAACCCAGAATTGATGAACCTGTAGGGACAGCCAGGAAAATAAGGGTTGCAGGGAGGAGGGACATGGTGGTGGTGGTGGTGGAGTAAAAGGGAGACACTGTCAAAAGAGTTCATGTAGAAAAAGAATGTTTACAAACTGACTGTGGTAGCAATTGTACAATTTTACTTGATGTCATTGAACTATGGAATGATATATGTATTAACTTCCAATTAATAATAAATAATTAAAAAAAGAAGTCTTGTGCAGCAGATTTACCTAATGCAACATGACTGCTGTTTCCATTGACTGTGGATCCAAGCAAGAAAAAGCCCTTGGCAACATCACCCTTTTCTTTTATGCTCCTAGGTAAATATTGATCCAGCTACTGTCTCTATAGATTTACCTATCCTGGATTGTAAGTTTTAAACACAGAAACATAGGTTTTTAGCTCTGTGAAGAATATAAAATAAACCATATCTCTTTTTTTATTTCTGCTTGCTTCACATTGACTGAAATGCTCAATTTAGGAATTATGCCTTCTATTTACAAATATTATTTATCCCCATAATTTTTAACTTTAAGCGTATATGATATATCCCTTTTTCTAATGTGTTCTCATATTGTACATAACAGATTTTATAAGTAAAGTACACTGGGCTCATTGGCTCTCTTACTATAAAACTAAATTTTCTGGGCCATTATTGCTGGAAATTTATTGCGAACCTGATTGCTATAAATTATTTTAGAACATCAAACATTTTTAATGGTCATTTAATGATTGACTTTTGTGTAATTTTAAGCATCAAGGCCCAGAAATACTGCTTAGCAGTTAGTCTTTATAGGATTGCAATAGAGTAGAGAAGAAACAGAAGTAATTAGTCTTAATTTGAAAAAATATAAAAATTGAAAAAAATTTTTATTATACTTTGTTTTTCAATGTTTATCATAAATGTTTTGTTCCTTTTATTTCCAAAGAAAATCGGGAAATGAGCAAGACAAGTGGGCGACTCAACAATGGTATACCTCAGATCCCAGTGAAAAGAGGAGAATCTGAATTTGATTCTTTCAGGCAGTCTCTGCCAGTGTTTGAGAAACAAGAAGAAATTGTTAAAATCATTAAAGAGAATAAAGTAGTTTTGATTGTGGGAGAAACTGGGTCTGGAAAGACTACGCAGGTTTGTTTCTTTTTTGTTTATAGAATAAGAAGAAATATTTAATGCCATTTCATTGCTTTATCTAAAATTTATGGCATATGCATTTTAGAGATAATATATAACTGTTTAGCAAAATGTGTTGCACATAGTAGGTAAGTTAGAAGTAATAGTAATACTAAATATTATTATAAAGTTGACTGTTGAATGGTGTTGATAAGATGAGTGTGACTTAGATATTTTAAATCAAAGTACTTCATCGTAAAGCTTTACTGTTACAGTATAGGTGGGAGAATAAGGCATGATGATATGTCTTTCTTGCTACATTCTGTAATTCAGCATATTAAAAAAAGTAAAATGACTTTGCTTTTGATAGAGATTCAGATCAGCTGTTTTATATAATTAAATTTTCATCTTTTCTTTTATGGACAAAAAAGTTTTTTACAATCTCCTATGATTTCTTAGGGTTATATTGTTTGGTTTAATAATATAAGTGGCGAGAGAGGTTGAGCATGTATCTCACCATAGGTGTTTACTTGTAGGACCTAACACATTGCACAGCAGTGTAACTCTTTATCCCTAAAACTGGAGTCTGGAAAACTAAATAATTAAAAGCATGAAAATTTTGTCTGAAAACAATTTGAGATTCTTTTACGCAAGTATTGCTAACTTCTATAAAATCCTTCCAGAGAATCTATCCAGATGCTTTAGGCGCTATAAATTGTTTTAATATCAGTGTAAATTTTGCCACCAAGCCTTAACTGTAACCATTTATTTATATTTTGCTCTTGTTTACATGGAGTCTTAATCCACATTGAAGGCTGAAATCCTTGCTCTTTAACAGCAAGTGCTTCAATTCTTCTGAACTTTCAAAAGCAATGTTGTGTCATCTGCATATCTCAGGTGGTTAATAAACCTTTCTCCCTTCCTGATGCCACATTTTTCTTCATATAATCTAGTTTCTCTGATTATATGCTCAGCATATAAATTGAGTATGGTGAGAGGATGTAACCCTGATGCACATACTTCCTGATTTTAAACAATGCAGTATTCCCTTGTTCTGTTCCCACAACTGCCTCTTGTTCCATATACAAGTTCCTCCTAAGCACAACAAAATGTTCTGGAATTCTCAGTCTTCTCAAATGTATCCATAGCTTACTGTGTTCCACACAGTGGAACTGTGCCTTAGCACGGTCAATGAAACACAAACATTTTTCTAGTATTCTCTGCTTTGAGCAAAGATCCATCTGACATCACCAATGGTAGCTCTTCTTCCATATCGTCTTCTGAATCCAGCCTGAACTTCTGGAAGTTCCTTGTCAATGTGCTGCTGTAACTGTCATTGGAATATATATGTATACACACACACACACACACACACACATTTTTTTGGAAAGAAAAAGTATTGGATTATCTTAAGCAAAATTTTACTTGCTTGTGATATCAATGATATTATTCTGTAGTTTGAGCATTCTGTTGGGTCACCTTTCTTTCGAATGGGTGCAAATATGAATCTCTTCTAGTCAGTTGGCCAAGTAGCTGTCTTCCAAATCCTTGGCATCAGTGAGTGCTTCCAGTGCTTCTTCAACTTTCTGAAACATTTCTGTTGGTATTCCATCAATACCTGGAGCCTTATTTTTGGCTAATTCATTCAGTGCAGTTTCTTCAGTACCATTGATTCTTGCTCATATGCTGCCTCCTGAAATGGTGGAATGTTGACTACTACTTTTGGGTACAGTGGCTCTGTGTATTCTTTCCATCTTCTTGATGCTTCTTGCTCATAGAGTCTTTCAAGATTGAAGCTCAAGGCTGTATTTCCTGAGTTCTTACAGCTTCACATGTGCTGAGTATGTTCTTCCCTTTTGGTTTTCTAATTTTCAGACAGGGTAGAATTGCCCCTGTGGGTTTCTGAGACTAACTCATTACAGGAATAGAAAGCCTTGTCTTACACGTTCGAAATGCATCGAGTAAGAGTGGCAGAGCAGAAATTCAAACAAAGGATCTTGTTTTGTATTTATTGTACAAGGAAACCTTTGAGAGCTGGAATGTGGTGGGACTGCCTTGTTTTTCATAATTTGTTAAGTTTTCCACCTTTGACAGGATGCAATCTGACCTTTTTTTTTTGGCTCATCTTAAGTGGAAAATATTTTTTTCCACTTTTCTTTGGCAGTTTTCTGCCTTAATGCAGGTCTGATTTTTTCAGGGTTAATGTACTTACTTTCTTGTCGTGTATCCTAATATTTCTTGCCTTATTTGTGGGAAGGCTTCAATAAAATAGAGTCCTAGATATAAAAATGTTGCTCAAAGAAAGGATATGGCAGTTAAAATTTCAACTGCTATATTAACTAGTAACTGTTCAATAACTCTAATATTAAAAGTGTTGAAGGTTCTCACTTCTTTGGAGCCTAGAAACTATAGAATATTTGTTCCTTTACTCAATTTGACAACCACATTTCATTTACAGTTCCTTGAGAATGAAGTAACTTTTATTTATTTTATTATACAAAGAATTTTATTTATTTTAAAATAATTTTGTTGGCATATAATATATCATACAATTAAATAGGAACTAGAGGAAAGAACTAGGCGGCAAAGGGCATTTATAGAGGTCTAAATACAGGCATATACATATGTAAATATATTTATATATAAGAATAGGGAAATACATGTGTACATATATTTATATGTTAAGTATTAAGGTAGCAGATGGACATTGGGCCTCTATTCAAGTTCTCCCTCAAGGTAAGAACACTTTGTTCAAAAAACCTGGCATTCTGTGAAGCTTACATTCCCCACACGATCGCTGAAGACAATAAGCAAATGTGGTGAAGAAAGCTGATGGTGCCCGGCTAGCAAAAGATATAGTATCTGGTGTCTTAAAGGCTTGAAGATAAACAAGCAGCCATCTAACCTGAGAAGCAACAAAGTTCACGTGGAAGAAGCACACCAGCCTGTGTGATCATGAAGTGTCGATGGGATCAGCTATCAGGCAACAAAGACCAAGAACAAAAAAAATCCCATCAGTGTGAATGATGGGAAGTACGGAGTGGAGACCCAAAGCCCATCTGTAGACAATTGGACATCCCTTTACAGAAGGGTCACTAGGAAGAGACAAGCCAGTCAGGGTGTAGTATAGTACCTTTGAAACATAGAACTTTCCTCTAGTTCTTTAATGCTTCCCCCCATACACACACTATCATGACCCCAATTCTACTTAAAAATCTGGCTAGACCAGAGCACGTACACAGGTACAGATAAGAGCTGGAAATGGCATCCAGGACAGATAAATGCCTCAGGACCAATAATGAGAGTAGCAATACCAGGAGGGTAAGGGGAAGGTGGGGGGAGAAAGGGGAAACTGATCACCATGATCTACATATAAGCCCCACCCAGGGGGATGGACAACAGAAAAGTGGGTGAAGGGAGACATCAGACAGTACCAGACATGAAAAAATAATAATAATTTATAAATGATCAAGGATTTACGAGGGAGGGAGGGAAAAAATGAGCTGATACCCAGGGCTCAAGTAGAAAGAAAATGTTTTGAAAATGATGATGGCAACATATGTACAAATGTGCTTGACACAACGGATGTATGTATGGATTGTGATAAGAGCTGCATGAGCCCCCAATAAAGTGATTTAAAAAGAAAAAGCAGAACTTTGTCCTATTGGATTGCTATCGATTGAAATAAATTCAGTGGAAGTTAGTTTGTTTTTGGTAGTCATTTTTATGCATGTATGTTTGTGGATAAAGTAGTAAAAGTTTTTAAAAATTCCAGAAATGTCTTAAGAAATGGGTGAAGAAATGCTCTCTCATTCAGAAAAAAATGAAAATCAAAACAACAATTATATCTTTCAATTCTCACATTGACAAGAATGAAAAAATTGATGATACCAAGTATTGGCATGGCTATTAGAAAATTAACTTTGTGATTTGTTGTAGTAATATAAATTGTTTTTCAGGGCACTTTGGTAGTTTTTCTGTGTAGATAACGAATTCATATACCCTTTGACATAACATTTTCACTGCTAATAATTTATGGCACATAAATCTTTGCAAAGTTATACAATGGCAGAAGTTCACTGCAGCATCATTTATAACAGCAAGCAGCCCTAATTATAACAAAAAAATTGAAAATTGCTTAAATTTATAGTTACCCTGTTATAACATATCTATAAGATGGATTATAAGATGAATTAGGATCTGATAGTATAAAATGAAATTATACACATTAAGTACATTAATTACATGTGAATAAAAAGCATTTTAAAATTTAAAATATGCTGTATTATATAAATGTCTTCCCCCTCCCCCCACAGGAGTGTGTAAGAAAATTAGCAGTTGTTACTTTCATACATAGAGGACTGTGAGTGGTGGTGGGTGGAAAATGGCTTACCGTACTTTTTAATTTAAAGCTTTGTGGCTTGTTTGAATTGTGCATTTAGAACTGTGCCCCAACCTGAAATTGTGGGCACTGAGACTTATAATGTTGACTATTCCCATCCAGGAATGTGGCATTAAAAAAAATTCAGGCTTTTCTTTATGTTTCTCAATATTTATCATCTTTTTCTTTTTTATTTAAATCAATTTAGAGGGGGGGCCCATACAACTCTTATCGCAATCCATATATATACATCCATCGCGTCAAGCAGATTTGTACATTTGTTGTCCGCATCATTCTCTGAACATTTGCTTTCCATTTGGGCCCTTGGAATCAGCTCCTCCCCTCCCTCCCTGCTCCCCCCTCCCTCATGAACCCTTGATAATTTAGAAATTATTATTTTATCATATCTTACACTGCCTGATGTTTCCCTTCACCACTTTACTGTTGTCCATTCCTCAGGGAGGAGGTTATATGTAGATCCTTGTAATCTGTTCCCCCTTTCTACACCACCTTACCTCCACCTTCCTGGTATCGCCACTCTCACCACGGTCATGAGGGGTCATCTGTCCTGGATTCCCTATGTTTACAGCTCCTATTTGTACCACTGTACATGCTCTGGTTTAACCAGGTTTGTAAGATAGAATTGGGATCATGATAGTGGTGGGGGGAGGAAGCATTTAAGAACTAGAGGAAAGTTGTGTATTTCATTGATGCTACACTGTACCCTGAGTGACTCGTCTCCTCCCCACTACCCTTCTGCAAAGAGATGTCCAGTTGCCTACAGATGGGCCTTGGGTCCCCACCCTGCACTCCCCCTCATTCACGATGATATCATTTTTTGTTCTTTGGTCTCTTCAGCCTTGTGATCACACAGGCTGGTGTGCTTCTTCCATGTGGGCTTTGTTGCTTCTGGGCTAGATGTCCGCTTGTTTACCTTCAAGCCTTTAAGACCCCAGACGCTATATCTCTCGATAGCCGGGCACCATCTGCTTTCTTCACCACACTTGCTTATACACCCATTTGTCTTCAGCGTTTGTATGGGGAAGGTGAGCACACAATGATGGTTTTTGTTCTATGGTGTCTGCTACCTGATCCCTTTACCTCCTCGTGATCACACAGGCTGTTGTGCTTCTTCCATGTGGGCTTTGTTGCTTCTCCGCTAGATGGCCGCTTGTTTACCTTCAAGCCTTTAAGACTCCAGACACTTCTATCTTTTGATAGCCGCGCACAATCAGCTTTCTTCACCACATTTGCTTATGCACACATTTGTCTTCAGCGATGTGTGGAGAAGGTGGGTGTCATGGAATGGAATGTCTGTTTAGTGAAGCAAAGTGTTCTTGTATTGAGGGAGTACTTGAGTGGTGGCCCAATGTCCATCTGCTACCTTAGTACTAACCCTATCAATATATGCACATAGATCTATTTCCCCATCATCATATATAAATATATTTACATATGTACATTCCTGTATTTAGGCCTCTATGTATGCCCTTTGCCTCCTACTTCTTTCCTCTATTTCCTTTTGCTTTCCTCTTGTCCTACCATCATGCTCAGCCTTCACTTGGGTTTCAGTAATTACATTGCCCTTGATCACTCCCTACCAGCCTCCCATGCCCTTTGCCACTGTTTTTCAATCATTCATTGTTCCCTTGTCCCTGGGTTGGTTAACACCACTTCTCTTCCTCCCCCTCCCCTTCTCTCATGTCCCCTCCCCCCCCAACTGTCAGTCCCCATTGCTTTCTTCACATTGTTTATCCAGCCTATCTTATCTAGATAGACCTGCAGAAATAATAATATGCACATAAAAACACGACTGTCAAACAAGGTGACAGAAAAACAAAGCGATGACAGCAACAACAAAAAGTCAATGACATACTAAATCAAAAAGAAGGGAAAAAAAAGAAAAGAAAAACCTGTAACTAGTTCAAGGTCTCTTTGTTGACCTTTAGTAGTGTTTTCTGGTCGAGACTGATGGGGTGTCATGCCCTGGCCCCAAAGTCTTATTTTTGATACTTCCTCAGGACTTGTTCCTGCTCCCCTTGCTTTTCTTTTGCACGCCCTTAGTGTTTTACCTCAGTGTGGTAGGGTCAGCTCTGGCACAAATCCCACACTGTGTCTACAGTGTTGTCCCATGTAGGGCTATGGGTCAGTATAGGATGTCGCATGTAGTAGTGGGGCCAGCATTGGCTGCTCTGAGCGGGACTATTGTCCTCAGGGCTTGGTGGGCCAGGGTGTGCTCCACTCCCTTCCTCCCCCTTCATTTGCTTCTGCTTCTTGAGCATAGTAAGTCGGTTCCTTTCCCTCACCAGAAGGTCTATTGTCATTCTCTGTGACACACCCTTCCATGGTTGGGGTCAGGCAGATTCTGGTTGGGGCCAGTCATATAGTCTAGTCCTTTTATGGATTCCTCCACGTGCTACGTTGCCCTCCTAGTTTGGCGCATCATGGTGGGGTCTGTATGTACATTTCCAATTCTGTGGGGACACAACCAATACTCTCTCCCTGGGTGGATTAGTGCCCTGTTCCCCCATATCATCATCTCA